AGCTCTAGAGCATTCTGAGGAGAGACTGTTTTTGTGTCATGAAATCATGCTGTCTCTAATGAAAAGCATGCTGCACCTCCACAAGGCACTTTTTCAGGATGCTCAAAGCAATCCTGTCCTGCAGGATCTCCAGGGACCAGAGCAGGGGCCAGGTCCTGGTTGTACAAGGGCTGGGTGGGGAGTTCTGCAGTTGTGAGCAGGGCTGTGAACCCTGCTGGACTGGCTGCTGTGGAGACTTGATGGGAAGTGTTTGAATTTCAGCTGTGGCTCTGGAAAATGCCAGAACTTCCTTCATTTGCCTCTGCACTGGCAGGTGTTTCTGCAGTTGTCTAACCTGAGTGTCCTGCTGCCACCCTTGCCCTGTGTCTCTCACCCTGCAATTTTATGGGCTTAGACTGACATGGAACTGCAGCTTTTGGAAAAAAGCTTGTAATTTTCTTCTGTTTTTTAAAGCTTATGTGTCAATGAGCACTAAGATACCATTGTCTGAAACAAACTTTTCAAAATGGTGATGGCAGTTTGAGCTTCAAATTATATATGTATATATATATATATATAAAAGTTCAGATGTCTTCCTCAACTCCTTTTGTATCTTCAGTTACAAAGCTGATGAAATTGACTGTTTGCTTACAGTGATTTTATTTGTTTCAATTTCTGAATTTGCTTTTTTTACAAAACCTCAGCCCCTGACATTTGTGAGGGAATTGTCTGATATGATTCCCATGCCTCTGGCAGGTGTTCTCTCCCTTTCTGTTTGGGAGCAGTGCTGAGGCATCTCCCAGCAGGTGATTAAGGACTGGTGCCCTCTGCTGCTAATAATTTACCAGCCTGGGTGACCCTCGGGCTTTATTTAGCATGAGGAATTGTCTGACTTATTTCTAGAGTGTTGCTCATTTGTGGATGGTCATTCTCCTGGGGGAAAAGGTGGAGAAATTGGGCAGAGCTGGCAGCTTCCCTCTGGGAGGTGGTGCCATCCTGCCCTGACTCAGGGATGCCAACAGTTCTCCATCTGCATTTTGGCAGCCCCATGCTTCCCTCCATGCTCAGACTCTAGGTTAAACCTTATTTTAAAATGCTGAATAATGCACATTCAAAGAGTTTGTGAAGCAAGCAGCTGCAAGGCAAACAAGATTTTTTCCATATGGTGTCATATAGCCCAAATGTAAATGTACAACAATAGTAACAAAACCATTGGTATTGCTCAATTCAAGTGTTTTTGAGAAAGCAGATGGATTACAACAGTCATTTCAAGGTTTTTCTGAAAGCATGGTGAATGCTCCTTGAAGTGTGAAAAATATTATGCTAAAGCAAACATTAGTAATAAAATTAGTAAAAATATAATTCACAAAATGTCATGTATACTTCATCATGGCTAAAGATCTTGAAAGGCCTAAATGAGTGTGTAGTCCTGGTTTCTGCACATCAACTTTTATAGCTTGGGTATCTTTTCACCATTTCCTAGGTGCCTTTTTAGATTTAATTGCAAAACTGAATATGTTAACAGATGGTTAAATTGTCTAATGGGAACATTATTCATTCTCTGAAGAACAGAGGTTGTAGGAGTGAGTTCTATTTTGTGACTAAGACCTCGATTCAAGATGCAGACAACTTTTTGTACATCAAATATCAACCAGTTTGGGGTTTGTCCCTTGAAACTCCCTGGGTTCAGGTGCTCATGTGGGAAGTAATTCCTTTCCTGCTTGCATACAAATTAAAAAGCTCTTGTCCTTGAGTGGAGTTTTACTGTGGCTTTTGCAGGTGTTGAAGTCGAGGTAAGTTTTAGAAAACAGCAATATCAGCTCAGTTAATAAAACAAACAAAAAAACCCAAACAAATAACAAAACAGACCCTATAAAACATGAAAGTTGAGAGAAGGCCAAGTTTCTGGTTATTGCCCCTAGAAAATGAGATTTGTGGGAGCTGCCCCATGAGCTTGCAGCCTGGCTGCAGAAATGGGTGTTCCAGCACACCATGGCTTGCCTGGGCAGTGGAGAGAAAATTGCTGTTAAATTCAGAAGTTACCCGGCTGATCATTGTTCATTCTGCATGTGGTGATCTGGGAGTTACTGCTGATTTGATTTTTGTGGTGAGAGTGAAATTCCTGAGCATAACAATTAAGAACATGGCAAAGTAATACTTAAATATAATCAACCCATGCAAATGCACCTCAGTGTACAACTCAAGGGCAGCTAAAGTGGTTTGGAAGGTTTTATTAAAACGCAAGTTAGAAAAAGGTATAAAAAAGTAGACTTGCTGTGAGTTTTTGTATTAAAAGTTGATACAATCACCTGAAGTAATTGAATTCTGTGAATGTGACATTGTTTGCATGAGGAAGCAGTGATTTCTGCATCAGGAAATGTAGTGATCCACAAATATCTTTCTATTGTTTTCATATGCAAGATTTCAATTACTCTGAATATTAACTTGACTGAGACCTCTTGAGATAAAGGAATTGTCTGGTGCAGGTGCATTAGTATATGCTATTATTTTTGTGTGCTTTGTCATGATCTGTCTGTACTTCTGAAAGTAGCCAGATACACAGAGTAAACGAAGACTGGGAAGAGTGAATAGAAAATGATATTAATTGTGGATGGACTGGAAAGGCTGTGTTTGAAAGGGAGAAGCTTTTTGAGATCTTCTAAGTACAGAATTAAGTCAGTCAGTAGGAAATAGTTCTTTGGTACAGCTGCTGAAGAAATTCTGTCGTTTGTTTTGATATTATAACTAGGAGAGAGGGATGATCTACAGCTGTCTTAAATTGTATATGTATTTATAGGTATAAATGTTAATTTGATATCCCTTATCTGCAAATGTTTCCTCGGATTTTTGTGAAGCCTTTTCCCTTGGGCTGCTCCTGCAAACAGGGACTTCAGTGTATTTAACAAGCTAGGCAGGTATAGATTTTTCTGTCCTGTGTTGCTCTGGCTGTCTCATAGATGGCAGAAAGAATAATGCTAGAGGACTACAGAATCTACAATATCTTAAATTTCCTCCTAGGGAGGTAAACTACTTTTGGGTTATGTTCTGAAATCAGCCTGGAAGTGCAATTTCTTTGTTAGTACAAGAGATTGTCAAAATTGTGTGAGGATCTGTGGGTACAGAACTGCCTTGACTTTGCCTCCAGCTACTTGCAGTGTCTCTCCTACCTGTTAAATGTGCTGCTTATCTCGAGTGGCTGCTGGCAGCAGTGGAGCTTGTGCACCAGAAGGATATCTGGGAAGAGTGCTTGTGGGGTCTGAAAAAATGCACTGTGCTATCTTGTTTTAGTATTCTGTACTTTGCCCAGAGGAGTTTGAGTGACAAATGCAATATAAGTGTAGAGATGGGGTAGATGATCCTGTTCCAGCTTCTGGCAGAGATTGACAGTACTTAAATGAGAAGGGGAAAAAAAGTTCTCATTCAAGTAGCTCCTAAAATACATACGGAGTTTCAAACTTCTTGCTTGCCTGGCTGTCTCTTTATTAAAAACAGGGCTAGGCTTTACTTCATTTTTCTCTGTAATCTCAATTAAAAGGAGTGGTAAGTGGACATCTTAGTTTTGCTTTCAAGATGATAAATTCTATACTAAGTTCGGGTGAGGGGAATACAGGAGAGGTGTAAGGAGGGCCTTGAGATGTGGCACTTTGGAAGATAAAAGGTTGGTGTCAGCCCCTGGATGTGCAGATGTCTGTGCTGGGTCAGGCTCAGGTGGAGCTGGTTCAGAACAGCCCATCCGGTGCTGTGTCCTAGATTTGTGAGCAAAAAGCACTGGCAGAAAGAACCCAGTGCTTCAGCTTCTGCTGAACAGCCCTTCCCACTCTCCAGATTTCTGCTTCTTGTGAGCTCTCTCCAGGAGCAGGGTGGACAGAGCTGGGACAGCTCATCCACGGTGACCAAAGACATTCCAAAACGTATCACATCATGCTGGGCACTAAAGGCAGGGCTGCAGGGTGGGGAGGGGCAGTTTTTCCAAATCATCAGGTGCTCAGAAGCTGGGTAGGCATTGGCCTGCTGATGCCAAGTGATGGCTTTTTTATTTGTTTCTTTATTTTCTTTATTCCCATCAGTTATTACATTGTCTTTATATCTCAACCATCAAGTTTTTCTTGCTTTTGTTTATTTTCTTTATTCCAATCAGTAATTACATTGTCTTTATAGCTCAACCATCAAGTTTTTCTTGCTTTTGTACTTCTGATTGGGTACATAATCCTGCTGGGAGGGAATGAGCAAGGGACTGTGTAAGGACTGACCTGTGAGCTGGGGTCAGTCCTCTCCACTGTCCCACAGATTTCTGAATGCTTCTCAGATTCTGTCCCCCCATGAGATCTAGACCTGAACTCCTATTCATGTGTCAGCTGAGCAAAGTTCATGAACCAAATGCTTCCTTGATAATGACTGCTGATATTGGTGTGCAACGTGGGTGGCTTTTTGGCTGTGAATAAGAATTGTTGTCAGCTGATTGTTGTCAGCAGGGTGTTCCTGCTTGGGAAGAAGTGACAGGGCAAAGGGAGGGAGGCAGGGTGCTTTGTGCATCCTCATTTCAGGGGTTTCAGGCAGTTCACGTGCAGGCTGCCGTGGCTCAGTGGCCAGAGCAGCTGGCAGGGGCTGCAGAAGTTTGGGCACAGAGAGGTGGCCGGGCAGTGCTCAGCTCTGAGCTCAGAGCCCCGTGGCTCTGCTCTCACACTCCATACCAGGAGTTTGTGTTTGTTTGTTTTGGAAACCCTTTGGAGAGCCCTGCCTGCTCCTTTGTGCAGTACTGGGGGTGCTGCAGCTCTGCAGGCTTCAGGTGCATAAATTCCATACCCAGAGCATAGGCTGCAATGGGATCCTGCTTGCTTTTTCACAGAAAAAAATGGACATTCCATCTCCATTTGCCTGCAGTATTTTAGAATGATTAGTGAAATTTCAAATGGTTTTTAATGTTCAATTACATGAAATAAACTCCTTTATTCTAAAGCAGTAGGTAACACTGTCTTTTTTTCTTTGATTTGTGTGTGTTGTTTTTTGTTTTTTTTTAATAGAATATTCAAATAAAAACTTTGGCAGATGATGTGGTAAGGTCTTTGTAGCATCTTAATTTGCAATGGTAACTCCACGCTGCATGCTACTTTACTCATGTTGTGGACAAAATAACATTCTTACAAGGATATTAAGCATTAGACTTCAGAAAGTTTAATAACTGTTCCTAAAGATCTTAATTTGTGGCTTCAGTTGAAGAAGTCTAATAATGATTTCTAGTTGGAGAAATTTCCTCAAGCAATTGAAATACTTCAGTAATACTATGGCTATGTTGGAACTGTTACTCAACAGCTGAAGTGTTATTTCTCTTGACCTTCTCTTTCCCAGTAAGTGATCTGCAGTGACTCTACAAAGTTGGTTGCCACATGATTCAAGTGGAACCATTTTGGGTAATAAATGTCTACTCAATGCCAAGGAACAAGAGTGTATTCAGTAGCACTAACTTGATAAAGCTGAATACTTTAAACTGGTTCCAAAGTGTTTTTTCAGAAACTTCTATCAAAATTTATTTCATTAAGATTACAGCCTTGTATTACATATATAAAATAAAGCCAGACTGGTTCTTTAGTTAATGATTGTCTGCACATCTGAAATGAGGAAATGGTGCCTGTAATCTCATAGAAGATACCTTTGTGTCTTTCCAGTGATCTCACCAGTGCAAACTCATTGAACAATGTGTTGTTAATAAGTTATACTTGAAAGAGATGACAATGTGGTGAAATTGGATCTTAAATGACTTTTTGTGACTGTTGAATGGTCTATATAAAACTGCATTTGGCTAAATCTGGATACTGCCTTTCAGGCATTGTTGTATTCTTGGCCTTTTCACCAGGTTATGCAGTAATTTTAATTTCCAAAAATGTAATTTAAACTCTTCTAATAAGGTAAAAAATAGATTAAAGTAGTGTTCTTGCTTTGTAAAAGACATTAACAGTATCCTTGTAGGTATTGTGCTTCTGTCCACAAATATAAAAATATCTAAGGAACAAGAAAACCCCCGTACCACCCGTTCCTCAAAAATAAAAAAGTTCAAAGGGAATGCAGCTTATCTAGGGACACTTTCCTTCAGAGATTTAAGGTAATCTCGTAGGATCTTAAAAATAAAAACAAAAACAATGAACAACAAAAATTAATAAAAAGAAACAAAACAACAGAAGAATAATCTTTCTTCTCCATACTCCACAGCTCTTGCTCTAGTGTCTCCACTCTGGACTCACTAATCTAAAATGAATCCAATTTTTGCAAGCAAAGTCTGTCTCTATCAGACATTTCCCACCTCAGAGAGGTCGTTTTGTTGTAGCCAATATGAATTTTGGTTTACATGTTTTGGTGGAGATGTCAGTGACTGCTATGAGTAATCCTGGTAACCCTACATAAGCTGCTGTTAGATGAAAGCACATCTTCATAAGGCTGTTGAGTGCCTGAAACAAATACAGGAGTATTTGTGGATGCAAACAATTCTTTGAGGAAAATTGCTATATACATGGTCTTCTCAAATTGAATATATATATATAATAAAGACAGGTATTAAATCAAACAATTCAGACTTTATTCAGAATAAAGCTCTATGTTACACATACACCAAAAATGGCCTTATAAGAAGGTGCTGGTTATTTCCAATATTAACCCAGTAACTGAGCATGCTTACAGCCCAGGAGTGGGGATTGGTGCAGCCCTAACCCAGAGCGCCCTGGCACTGTCTGGCCGTGGGTTTAACCATGGGTGCCTGCTTCTGTGTGAGCAAGCCTTCCCCTGCCTTTCTAAAGCTCAGCACTAATCCAGGAGTTCCTCCTCACAAACTCTTCAAGGAGTTAGGAACTATGCTTGGAGCATTAATTCTACAAACTTTATTTTACTTTAGCAGGATTTTTTTCATAAGCCTGATGAACTTGTGAGTACCTCCTTCCCCACGCTGCCTTTTTCAGTTGTCCTCCAAAGACTTATTGCTCTTCAGGTGAAGGAACATTGGACATTACCTTTGTGGTACCATATTTATTCACTATCAGGATAATTAGCAATGGGAGAAGATGAACTCAAGATTTTGAAATGCTAAGAGTTTAACCTAGCTGGTGCAATTTTGGATCAGTGAGAACTATTTAAATCCCTTCTGCATGTGACCTGTCATGAGTTTACCTTACATGTTATTGTCTTTCTTTTATTACAGTATTTTCACTTACAGTTCAGTTTAACTCTGCTGCTTGAATTAACTAAAACCGTGCACTGCTGCCATGCCATTGGCTGCTTTTCTCTCTATTTCTGCTTATTTTTGAATGTCTTTGCAGCGTGACAGAATCACAAGCTTCAGAAAAGCAGCTGTGAAGAAAGAGAAGCCTCTCATTCAGCATCCTATTGACTCTCAGCCTTCCATTAGTGAGATCCCACATGCCCAGGCACTTGTTGATGAGCGCTGCATGAACTTATCAGAGAAGGAAGTTATGGATCTCTTTGAAAAAATGATGGTAAGATGTGGGTATGGGGGAGAACTTTCCTGTTCCACTGGGTAGCTCTGTGCTGTTCAGTGCAGCAGTGAATGTCTTTTGAAGGATTGGATAAGTGTTAATTAACTCTTGCTTGATTTGCTTGTTAAGGGATTAGTTTTTAACTTTTCCAGGTAATGGTAATTGAAGCAGACAACAGGTCTGTCTCACAGAGACTAGCAGTTCTGTGACAGGGCTGTTCAGCAGCAGTGATTGCAGCAGCATTGACTGCTCTTAGGTGCCAGTCTGAAACTACTTTGACTTTTAATGGCAAGCCTAGTCATGACTAGTAATGACTGCATTGTATTTAATCAGTTAAGTTAATAGAACTGTCTTAATAGATTTAATCTAGCAAAGCATTTTGACTTTTAGACTTGTTTTAAATACATCAGTTGGAACAGTTTATCTTCTACCCCTTCCACAAGCTACTAATCCATGTAATAACAGCCTTCTGATTAGATAGTGCAGGAATGGTGTCCACTGTGATAAGATTTCACTAAAAACACAGGAACATCTCAAGATTTGGCACTTATTCATCAACTTGTGGTTTAGAATTGTTGTGCTTGTCCTCTAGTCTTACTTCTTGAGCCAAATTTCACAAATGTTAACTACCCTTGTTGCAGTTTAAATTTTGGCTAAGTCTCAAAAACAATGAATACTTGAGGTGACAGAATTAAATGAGGAAATCAGGTATGGCAAAATCAAATACACGCAGATAAACTGGAAAAAGCCACTTCTGTTTGTTTGAAAATTAATTGTTTAACAAAAGAACAAAGACTGCTGACAATATTGAGATGTGCTCCTGATGTGCTGTGGTCTGGTTCTTTGCAGGAAGACATGAACCTGAACGAGGAACGTAAAGCTCCTTTACGAGACAAAGACTTGAGCACAAAACGTGAGATGGTTGTCCAGTACATTTCTGCAACTGCCAAATCCGTAAGTACTCACTGAGGAGAGAGCTTAGCTTGGAGGCTGATGCTCTTCAAGCTTGAAACTTGAATTTTTTTGTCTAGAATTATCTAAGAGGGGTAGGAAAAAATAAATACGTACATACCAACGCACTTCTGAATGCTTGCAGCTACATCTAAACCATTAGTTTGCATTTTCCCTGCTGGGCAATGTAAAAACTTGGTCCTTTCTTGGAAGCCATAAGAAATTGCAAATCCAATGATGTAGAGTCATGGATGGAACCTGAGCATATTTCTGTGCAATTCATCTTAAGAATTTTTGGTACCCAAAGTTTCTTTGTGGTTTCAGTAGCGATGTATGTGCAAGACTCCTTTAGTGAAAGGATGGTCTTAAAACCAGTTCCAAATTGCATTTTAATTAGAAAAAAATGTTTTGACTTTTCATTGATGTTGATTATTCTCTGTAATTTAATTGATTGATTAACCCTTCATGCAGAATTTTTGAAGTCTGTCTTCTTTGGGGTGCAAGAAGTGTAAGGAAATGACTGGATACCCCAACATTTTTGGGGTGGAGAAATATAATTTCAAGTAGTCAAGAGCTGCAGTTTATTTTCTGCAGTTGAACTGTTCATACTAACTAGTTATAAAAGATAACAGCAATGCTTTGTGCGTGTTAAAAGTTTTGACTATGGCAAATATAGAAATAAGTAAGGAGTATGTTGGTGTCTGCCTAAGGAATCTTTAAACATGGACTGCAAGCAGTACAGTTAACTTGTCCCTTGTTAACCTTGAAAATCAGCTCTGCAGAGTTCAATTTCAAAAATTAATATGACAATGACATGCAATTATTATGCAAATGCCTTGCATGAAACATTATAAACTTCAGTAAGGAGAAGTTTGTGTTATAATGGTGATGAAATGGTAATGAAAATGGTGATTTAAGTTCTGAGAGGAGTAATGTTCCTGCATGAGTTCATCTTAAACAAAATCCAGAGTCCTTTAGTGTGTGCTGGAAGGAATCCAGTTCTTTAAGCATGGTCCAACTAAATGTACAAATTACTGGAAAATTATTCAAGCTTATGCAGTGAATGTTATGAACTAGACTGTCTTTGGGAACTGTTAATTATGCTTTGTGAGGTTTTTATCTTCACTTGATGATCAATATTAAATCTGGAATTTTTCTTAGTATGCAAAAATACTTTAGTGAAGCAGCAGGAGGTGGAAGTAGAAATGGAAGTATTTGCATTTTTTTCCAAGAATTAGTTGAACAATGGTGATGTCTCTCGTGTACACTGCAATTGAAACATAGCTGCCTCAAGCTCCAGAACTGTGCAGCTGAGTAAGGAAAGCATGGCTACCATTGCATGGCTCACTGCTGAAATTTTAATGCATTGCATTGCTCCCCATGTGTGCTGCAGCATGGGACACTTAACAGAACTGGGAAGACATTTGTCTAAATGTACTAATAATTTAAAACCAAGTCATCCTAAAAGGTCCTTGTACATGAATGTGCACTTTGGGCTTAAGTCAGCACCAGTGTGGATGTTTTACACATTGCAGAGTGTTTTTCCTAGAGGAAAACCAACTCATATTAAAGTTTGTGTGCTTCAGTACATCCTCCTTGCAATTGAATCACAGCATTTGAATGGAATCTTTCAGAAATCTACATTATCTTTCTGTAGTGTTATCCTAATTTAACTTCTGAATAGCTAGCATCTTGATTGTTAAGAAAAAAAATTAAAATACAGAGGTTAATTTTAAAATGTTGATTGGGATCTTACAGTGGTGCCAAACCTCATTTTCACTTTTAATTTCATCTTCTGTTTAGTGCAGTTACTGTTCTGCTCAATGAATTCAAGCCCTAGTCAATCTTTACTGCATTATGAATTGTCAAACTTTCCTTTCTTCATGATTGTCTTCCATGAAAATGCTGGTTGCATTCAAAATGATCTTTAGATTTTCTACCTTTTTCTTTTGTCACAGATAATTATATCTGTCTTCCTTTTTTACACTGAAAATACTTGGACCTTCTGCTTAGAGCTCACAAAACACATTTAACCGTTGATGTGACTTTTCTTGCAGTTCATTTCATGTTTGTTTTATTTAGGCTTTTGAGCTCCCTCCCTTCATGTGAAAATATCACTCTCATATGCTGATGTTGTCTTAACCAAATTATTTGAAATTTGGTGCTTCATTTTCTTTGCCTGTGTGCTGTCTGCAGCATGTTGACCATGCTTTTCTGAAACACTTGTCTTCAGAGCTCTGAGAAAGGAACTTTGGGTTGCACTGGGTGAAGAAAGTTTCCCTTGAGGGTGGAGGACGTGTAGAAGCTAATGAGCTGGATGCTTTCATGGGAAGTGATTTTCTGTGCTTCTCATTCCTTCTCTCACTTGAAGAGAAAGATGGTTGGCCATGGAAATTATACCTGAGAACTGGTGAAGGATTGAAATTCTGTTTCAGAACTGAACCCAGTGACATTTTGTGCTGTACTGAATAGTTGGACATGGGTGAGAGGAGAAGATAGGAAATTGGGAGAAGAGATTGGTGATGGCAATCCCTTCTTGTGCTTCTAGAGGAAACTTCTTCAGGAAGAGAAGTGTTGATTGTGAAAGACTCGCAGGGACTTTTGTTTCTGAAAGAATTCCTAAAGGAAAAATGGAAAAGAGTAGAAGATGAAGCAGGTAGAGGCTGAGCAGAGACAGTCACAGATCTCAGAAGCAAAGCAGCTGGTGATCAGATAAAAGGGGTTATGCAAGGAGCTGGCTGCTGTCAGCCTGCAGCAGGTGAGCTGACAGGAGAGGCTGGAGCAGATGTCCGAGCTCCTGCTGTTGCCAGGGCGTGGGCATTTGTGCAGGGTGACAGAACAGGGCACAGATGTGCTGCCTTCCTGCAGCTTCCTCTGGGGAAAGTCACCTTTTTGTTCATGAACACAGAGAGATGCTGTTCCATGGTAAAGAGAAGATGGCATTCTGAAAATCACTGTTTAATTATCCATGTAATTAAAAGCATCCATACCGAGCAGTTGAATAAAAATGTCATGTGAGATTTTCTGAAATGCAAGTTGGAGTTATAACTGTAGGCTATGTTTTTGATTACAAAAACTTAATTAAATTCAGTGGTGACATCATCTAAACAGATCAAAAGCTCCATAATAAAAGCAGTTGTTATACACAGAAAAAAGTCAGCATGCCATTAGAGTGTTCTCAGTGTCATATGTAAAGTATCTGACCTGATAATTTTAACAAATGGCATATTTAATCTTTCGAGATGTAGCTGTCAAGACAGGTATTTAGTTATTTGTAGGTAAATGTGTCAAATACTGAAGATTCAGCAGCAAAACATAAGAAATTGAAATTGTTGCTCCTGCTGTAGAGCTGCTGTTTTCCTGTCAGAGAAGCTCTAACCCCTAAACAAGTTGATAAAGTAATGAAAGAATGTAACTACTACTAATGATTAAACACTGAAAAATGTGTGTGCAACTACATCCTACTAAGTACTGTGCTGTTTATTTATGTATTATTGTTATCTTTTTTACACAATAACCTCTCTTGGCTGACCACTGCATGCAGATAGTCGGAAGTAAAGTTCCGGTGAGTACAAACATGAGAGTTTTGTTTTCTCTTCTGAACTTCCCTTTCAAGAGATTAGGCTGGAATATTTTGGACTTTTTTTTCTGGGTTTTAAAAGTTCAGTGGGCACAACTGAATCCTTGTTTTATCAAAATGATTGTCAACCACCTCAGTCATGTTTATCTAACCAGTATGAGTTCATTGCTTACACTTTTGAGGGATTTCTTCAAGTTTTCAGGGGTCTATTTCCAAATTCAAACTCACTGAGCTCATCTCTTCATTGTGAGCAACAAATATAATTTAAGCTTGTCTTTTATTGAAGGCAGGCACTTGAAATTTGAAATTGACAATATTTGACTTAATTTTGTTTAGATCTGGAATTTTTTATGTTTTAATTGTTATTATTCATACCTTGTCTTAGAAATGCCAACTTCAGCAGATCAATTTAGATTAATTTAGAAGATTCAAGAGCTCAGTATGTTGAAGATGAGATCCCTAAGAGCATAACTTTTATTAAGGACTCATCTACATTTTATGTTGTTTTGATTGAATTCAAATATTATAGACAAATATTTGGAATTTAATGTGTTGGAGTGAGTTCAGCAAGTTTGTGTTTCCTAGTAAATAAGATTTTTTTGGAGAATAATTACATATGTATTTCAAATAGTGATTGAAAACAAAAATGTTCTTTTAAATTATGGATGGACTTTATTTTTTATTATAGCCAAAACAGGCTTTTCAGGCACAGCAAGGCTTTGTACCTAAGTCAGGGAACAATCTATGACTTAAAACTGTCCAATCATCACCTCAGATATAGTTAGGTTTTTCTCCTACACATTATATTCTTGTATATTTTTCTCTTGGCTTTGTTTTAATCAGAGTGGCCTTTAAAGAGACTTTTGTGCTCACCAGTACTTTTTAGTTTTGTGCACACTATTGGTTCTTCCCCTAATTGAGGAAAATATCTTCATTGTGCTTATGTATTTAAAAGGGTATTATTTAATAATTTGAGGGTACAAATTATTAATTTTCCAGTTCAGTGTGTTAAAACCAGTTTCAAATAATCCTTGCTGCTGTGTAATTTCCTTTGGGTGTGAATTAGCCTGAACAGCTGCTTTATGAAGAGGCTATTTTATAAAGCAAGCTGATATTCCCACAATTGGTGGGGGGAGGTTCTAAGATGTTTTCTTCCCCATGCCTTTGGGTTCAGGGTCTGATAGAAAGCAAGAACAGCTCTGCATTGAAAGCATGTTTTTGTGCAAATAACTTGCTAAATACTAAAATAAAAAATGCTGTGCCTGGAGTTTGGCTTCTGCATATTATTGCTTACCGAGCGCTCGCACCTCCGTGTGCTCCTTCCAGGATCCATCCTTTAGGAGCTGTTCCCTTGAAGATTTACAGATCCACTGTGATCAGGGAGGAGAGGCATTTTGGGATGTTCCTGGTAGTGCTGTTGGGTTCTAGACATGGCAGAGAGGAGATTTCCCTGTTCATGGGAACTCGGGAGCTTGAACTCACTAGAATTTGACATGGGATCCTCAGCACTGTGGCACTGCTGGGTGGTGCAGGCTCTCATTTGAGTTGGCATCAGTGAACCACCCTCTGCCTTAATTGTACCACTGAAGGAGTCCAGTCATGACGGAATTTCTAATATTTTCATTCTTAAGCATTGATTTATTCTCTGAACATACTGATGTGGGGCCCAACCCTCTTCAGTTTCTTTCTACTTCACTTTTGCTTCCATCTTTATTAGGTGTTCTCCTGTAAAACATTTTTCACTGAGACCTTACACCTCAAAGTAAATAAGAAATGTTTGTATTAAAATCTGATCCATATAAAGGCATAACAATTCTTAAAAATAGTATTCCAGTCAAACTCTCTTTGAATAGGGAAATAAAAGGTAGCACCTGGATCAGCATTAGAGGTGAGAGTGGATTGAGACTGCGACATTGATTGCAGGGAATAGCAGAAAGTAATCCTGGTAAGCTGAAAATTCTCTGAAAGATTTCAAGAATGAATTTTTATGAGCTGCCTTGAGTGACCATCCATTTTGAAGAGGGAGGAAAATAAGGAAGACGACTTGGTTCCTTATTGCTGTGCAGATAAAGGTGCTTTTTCAAAGAACGAGTGAAGAAATGTGCCTGTCCTGCAAGCCATGGGAAGGAGCCTTAGCAGAGCACCCTGCCAGTTCTTCTGCTGATCTATTTTTGAGGGAGTCATGAGTCTTCTGAAAATCAGGGACTAGGCAGAGCAGAGGTGCTTCACCAATGGCTTGGATAGCACAGAAAGAGGAGGCAGCAAGATCCCACCTTGGTTTAAATATGAAGCAAAGAATAGCAAAGGCTTCAGATTGCCCCAGTCTGAAGTGGAGTCTCCTGTGGAGCTTGCAGCAGACTGCAGTGGAAGCACAAATTCATCTCTTGGGAGAAACCACTGCCTTGCATTCTGGAGTGCTGTTCAGGGTCTAGCTTAAGGCAGTGGCATTGACTGAAGCTGCCATTGTCTCATCTCTGTACACTTTGTGGCTCTCAGCAGCATTTCTGTTCTCTTCTTTTGCCATTTGGGGAATGGCTGAAATGACAAAATTTGTGCCCATTTAGATCTATACTGTGTAGGTGATGTGCATTACTTACACATAAAATCTTTTCTAATTCCCATCCATCCAATGGGTAGGATATAGCTGTTTCTTTTTCCTAGTTCTTTACCTTATGGTCCTTCAGAGGGATAATTTTTCTGAATTTTTCTGATTTTTGATGTATTAATCTGATTTACCATCAGCTCCTACTCCTATAAATATAACCCCATACATTTATTCCTTTTTCTTCCAGTGGAAGAGCATCTCTTTGTTTAGGCTGTTTGATGGTGACTGATTCTAGTCCCTTTATATCCTTCTTACTCATCTTTGCCTTGCTCCTTTCATGTGATGCCCAGCTGAAGGTGCTTTTCATGTCAGCAAGGAACATTTCCAAAGCTGACACAGGGCAGAGGATCCTGTTGTCTCACTGCAGTCACAGTCTGTCCTGGTTTTGTTCTGAATCTGAAAGTATATTGTGAACTCGGCTCTGGTTTGTGCTTCAATCTGGCTAGGTCAAAGTCATTAACTTAATTTAACCAAGGTATTTTGTCATCAGCCATACTTAGTGTATTTTTGGAAAATGAATGGTAAGAATTTGAAGAGAGCAAACCAGAAGCTTCATAAGAAGTGGAGCTGTGCAAAAAAGAGACAATTGGAATATTTTTGGTGGGAGTGATACAATTAAAACCAATTGCATATAAATCCTCTTTTAGGACAGGCACTTGATACTGCCTTTACACCCTGACATCTTTATCAGGTTCTCTTCAACAGGCCCTTCAGAGCTAAGGGGCTTTAGGAGCTGCAAATGAATCAAAACCACTCTTCTGAGATAAGCCTGCTGCAACTTGTCAGAGCTGTACAAAAGATTAGTTGCACCTTTTGGAAAAATGTTTTGTCTTGTTCAAGAGTTTGAATACTATAGCTCTAAAAACTCACATTCAAGTATTTAATAGTGAAATACTCTGTAAGTAGTTTTTCTTCTGTAGTGGCACTGCAGCAGGAGGGAATTCTGCCAAATCTCCTGTATGTTTTTTTTTTTACAGCAAACAAGATCCTCTTGACATCTCTTATTAGGGGTCAAACATGAACTATGGTATAGCAAAAAATTGTCTCAGGAAGTTTCATCAGCTGGGTTTTTTGTATGTCTCTCTTTATGATTATTTCCAATACAGTGTTCTGATGTACAATACACTCATTAAATATGTTAATGCAGCTGAATGATGGAATTAAATTTTAATATTCCATTTGTAGTACATGGACTTTTACTCGAAGAAGTGAAAAAGATTCCAGCAAAATAATTATCCTTGTAATTTAAAACCAAAAGTCAATTATCAATCCGAATCAAGTCAGCTGCCTTGAATACTTGTGCTATGATTTGGAAATTCATATGGAAATACTAGTCTTCTGTTTTATCCTCTAAACACTGTTAATCACTGAACACTCAGCAGCATTCTGCCTTCTGTGATAGGGGGGACTAAAAAACAGCAAGCACGAATGTACCCTGTCCTCACAAGAATATATCCATGAACTGCGCTCTGGAATTTCAGATGAAAAACTTCTTAATTGCCTGGAGTCCTTGAGAGTGTCTCTAACCAGCAACCCAGTCAGGTAAGCAGAGCAATTTCTGCAGTGGTTTTCATCATGCTGTTTTTGCTAAGCAGGAGAGTTGTGGGCTTTGGGGTTTTTTTTGAAACCAGGGTAATTAGGCTAATGCTTGTTGACAGGAGAGCAGTGTTCTCAGCACCCTGGATCAGGATAAGTGAAATGTTTGCAGCTCTCTGCAATATCTCCTCACCTTTCACTGTGGCTTTCAGCAATTTGTACTTGGTGGAACTGTTTGCCTTCGTGGCTGGTCAGATCTTTTGGGAAGTGAGACCAAAAGTGGAGCCTGTGAAGGGATGCACAAACAGTAATGGAGAAATAGCTTTGCAAGTTCTGCATTTGATTGAGAAATAATTAAAAGCATTTTTCTTCTTTTCTTTGGGTTTTTTTTCCAGCTGGGTTAATAATTTTGGACATGAAGGTCTTGGGCTTCTGTTGGATGCATTGGAAAAGCTTCTGGACAAGAAACAGTAAGGACCTGGATCATTTAAAGGGAGGGATGGGGAGGTTGTGAAGCTTTTCCTTATGTGATTTTCCTCTTTCCTTTCAAGGCAAGAAAGTATTGATAAGAAGAATCAGCATAAACTTATCCAGTGCCTCAAAGCATTTATGAACAATAAAGTAAGTATTATTTTAAATTCACAGACTTCTGTCATGTTTGGTTTTGAGTTCAACATGTATATGTTGGAGAGGGAAGGAAACCTCATATATCCAGTGTTTAACTCTTTGGAAATGCAGATCTTAAACTTAGTGTAACTTCTGTTGAGAGTCTCCTTCCTGAACCTTTCTGCATTTTTTCTTAGTTTTTTTAAATATTTATGATTTTTGAAAGTAAAATGTTGAGAGGATGATAGTATAAATTTAAGGTGAATTTGGAAATTAATTACTTGGAAATTGAAAAAAATAGTTTTCCAAATTCAGATTTCAATTCAGGATTGTAATATAATGTATTTTTCACCTGATATAAATTGAGTAGCATTTGATGTCTTTTTAGTTTTTAAGTTAATAAGTCATGGGTAAAGGGTTAGGTTAAGTTGGATCTGATTTGTTTCTAACACAGTTTTCTCAGGTTTACAGACTATGAGTACCTTCTAGAAGCTGTTATGTGAAACTTGTAATGTTGCTTTATTCATAGCAAAATCTGAAGTCTTATCTATCCTCCTCAGCAAATAAAACTGCATATAAGTTACTTGTGATTAACTTCTGCACAGTTTAGAAAAATCTCACAGAAGAGCTTGTCCAATGAAGTGGAAAAAAAGCAGATTTTTCATTTATAGACAGAAAATAAAACCTGGCTTGCCTTTTGGTGGGTACTGATTTTGCAAGGTCCTGGTGTCCTCCTGAGGAGCTGAATCTCTGTCTATCAGGAGAAAGCCTCCAGTGCAAGACTGGGGCCCTGACCTGTTTCCCCAGGCAGTGATGGCCAGGGGATTTGTGGGGATTTGGTGGGGTGAGGGCTGCCAATCCCCTCTGGGATGGAGGGTTTGGGAGAACCCCCAGGATCTTATGTTGGTGATGAGTTCCCAAGGCAAGCACAAGCTTTTCACCATGAGCTTTTTGTTTTTCCCAGTACGGTTTGCAAAGGATTCTAGGAGATGAAAGGAGCCTCTTGCTGTTGTCAAGAGCAATTGATCCAAAGCAACCACACATGATGACTGAGACAGTGAAAATCCTTTCTGCTATCTGCATTATTGGAGAGGAAAACATGTGAGTGAGATACTGAAGCTTTTATTTGTGCTTGTGAGTTGTTAATTTGCACACAGGTGAGAAAAGTTGTCAGTGAAACAAAGGTAAACTGTTAAGTCGTTAATAATGTGGTTTAAAATTAAAGATACTTCACCTGTTTTGATGCCTTAATTCAGTATTAAATCAGAGAAAAGCAAATGAGCAGAGATCTACACACTGTGGCTGAAGTGGAAGGTGTGAAAGGACAAATCGCCTCTCTACCACAGGAACCAGGAGTTTACACTTGCAGCTGGGCTTTGGAGCAGTTCAACTCAGAGTTATTTAGCACTTGCCCATGAGATTTTTAAAACTAAGATGATCACTTGGCATGTATTTCCTGTAAATTCACCACTGTGTTTATGTAGTGAAGGTTAAAATTGGCAAACTTCATGTCTTCTCTGCAATAAATAGATTAAAACATTCTGATTTCTGAAAGGACAGTTTTTTAGAATTTCCAGATGTTAAACATGTCAACTGTTATCAAGTGCACAGTCTTGTAAAGGGAGAGATTTTTAGCCCTCATTGGTTGTTCCATTGCTGAAAAAACAATATAGAGATTTAGTCACCCCTTTTTTCTTATTTCAACATTAATCTTGTAGACATTTATAACACTTGGTTCTTGGATTGTTTTCAACTCTCTGTAGATAAATGCATTTAAACTCTGTCAGTGCTCTAAGACTTGAGTTGTGTGAGTATGTTTAAAATCAGCAAGTTGGCTGTGCTGTACTCTCTTGACATTTTGTCTTTCTCGTAGCCTGGACAAGCTTTTAGGTGCTATAACCACAGCTGCTGAGAGGCACAGCAGGGAGGAACGTTTCTCCCAGATTGTGGAAGGGCTGGAGAACCACGAGTTCATCCAGCTGCAGGTGAGTTTGTCTTTGTGTGCTTCAGCTGAAGGGCTGAAACACTCTGTATGGCTTGGTGATCTTTAATTCACACACATCTTTTAGTGCTGTCAATCCAATGGTCAGTAAAAGAGGAAAATAAAAAGTAAGAGAGGAGAAATAAATCCCAGTGGCCTAGTGGTGCTAGATTTTCTACTTGTTAGTGGTGGGAGGCCAAGGAGATCACTTCTTGTCCCAAAAATAGGATTAAGAAATCTCCTAATAAAGAGAGCAGTTAGTGATATTTCTTTCCTTGGATTCCAGGTGTAATGTTCAGGTAATACATCTAGTCCTAGTGCTGGTACTTTAGGCAGCAGTACCTGTGGCCTCTTAAATATTCAGATATATGCTAATTATGGCAGGTGTAGCATGGGGTGTGCCCATTTTTGGCAAGGTTCCTTCTAGGATGAGTGAAGTGCAGCAGGATATTATTGGTAATTTTGTCACACTGTGTGTGTTCAACATGTGCCTTTTACCAGCCACTAGTGCCTCTCTGAGAGTAACCTAGTGAGCTTTCAAAATTATTTCTATAAAATAATAAAATATTCTGTGGCAGTGGATTTTACCTTCATGACTTAGATCATGTTCATTGCTGCTTATGTGTCCATGGATAAAAGTTTTTATGCTCTGTGGGCACCAGAGTTTTGGTTGGTGTTAAGATACAAGCTTTTTTTTAGTTGGGATTGGTTGGGTTTTTTTGGTACTGCCATTTTTGCATAGAGGCCAAGTGGCTGAATATCCTAATAAGGGATGACTTTGACTTATGACCTTCTCATTACACAGTAGTTGTACATATTTTGTACTAAAATTTATTTTTCAGCTACCTTGGCTGAAAAATATAGAAAAATACAGGCAGGGCAGGTATCCTTGGGATGCCTTTTTCCAGTCTTGGCTCAAGTACACATCAGCTGTAGCTGCCTTAATGCTTTGTTTACCATCAGCACCTCTTGTTTCAGAGCTGATGAGCTAATGATGGCCAACAAGTTTCTATAAATGACATTCTAATCTTAATATCACTGAAGAATTCATTCTGGAGTTGTCTCCCACTCCATGACCTTGTTGATTTAAGGCAGACAACAGCCACCACCCCCTATTCCTGCCAGCCTCCCCCTCCCAAGGCTCACTGGTACCTCAGAGAAGGCACAATTGCAAGACTCATTACCTTGTTTCTGACAAAATCCTTCTTTGCTGGGAATGCATTAGCACAAGCCATTAAGGCAGAGTCTCTCTGGCAGAAGCAGTGGGAGCAGATGGCACCTCTTCTCTCTATTAATTTCAGATTGGACATGTGCTTTGGCTTGTTAAGTCATGTCATAGTAGTAAAATAACAAGAATCATTCAAGCAAGCACGATGATACTGCATTATCTGAAGATGCAGCTCTATCAAGAGAGTGCCTTTGAAAGGGTGTTTTAATAGAAATTTGAGACTCCATAAGGTGTTCTATTAAAGCTAAATAGTGAATGTAATTAAAACAGGAAGGTGCTTTTTATCTGATTTTTTTTCCACTGCAGCTACTGATTTTTTTTTCCCTACTCTAAAGCTACTTCTATTTGCACTTAACATCTTTTACCAAACTTGGTATTTCCCTTGAGTCCCATTTTAGTCTTTTAAAGTGGATCAGCACTTTTGGCGTTATGCTGTTGTCTACCTGTTTTCAAATAAATCAATTAAAGTGCACAGCTGTTCAATTAAAGCATTAGCCACTATCCTGAGACCAGGCATTTTGCACAAGTGCTCTGCAGGAATGGAAAAAACACCTGGTGATGTGACTAATTTGGGTATAGGTGTTTATTGGGTGGTTCTGATGTGGGTTTTTTTAAGCTTTTAGTTATTGTAGAAACAGTTTGTTTTCAAATTGTGAATGTTGAGGAGAAAGAGAAGGAGGTACAATGGGCAGCTTTAGTTTGGAAATAACTAGTGCCTGATTTTAGGGTGGACAGGCCCTGGCACAGGTGCCCAGAGAAGCTGGGGCTGCTCCTGGGTCCTGGTCCAGGCTGGACAGGGCTGGCAGCACCTGGGAACAGGAGAAGGTGTCCCTGCCATGGCAGGGGTGGCACTGGATGGGCTTTGAGGTCCCATCCAGCTCAAACCATCCATGCTATTATTCTGTGATGATCATTCATATGGTTCTCATTTCATACAGTGGAAGCATCCTGATATGGAAACAGAGCAGTATTTAATGTTGCTAAAATAAAACTGAGTGTTGCATGTGTGCTGCATAATAAATCGTTTCCATTTCTTTGGTTTTATAGTTCAGCTGTAACAGTGGCTGGAAGTATTGATTTCCATTCTGTGTTTCTGGTTACAGGTAGCATGTATGCAGCTCATCAACGCCCTTGTTACATCTCCTGAAGATCTTGATTTCAGGATACACTTGAGAAATGAGTTTTTACGTTGTGGCCTGAAGAAAATATTGCCTGTAAGTCATTTGTGTCCAGGAGCTGATCACTCTCCTCTGTGAATGTTGAAGATAACCAAACTGTTTAACCAGGACAGCAGATGGGAAGGATTGGGGCTGCAGAGGAGTCAGATTATCAATCCAAATCTGCTTTCAGCCTGCAGAGAAAATTCAGGTTTTCATGAGCTGTATAAACCAGAGTAGTAGTTGAAACAAGTCAATATATTAGAAATTAGATGAGGGTAGCCAGAGTCTGCATAATGAGCTCAAAGCACATGCAGTGAATGTGAATCTGGCTGTGGAACCAATCTTGGATTAACTTTCTTTGTATATGCTGTTCCTGTTGTTTACTGTGAAATCTTTTTTTCTTTAATCTGCTTGCTGAGAATGCATTGGGACATTTTAAGGAAAAATCAAATCAGAAATTCATTCTGAGACTGCATGTCTGTCTTCATGCAGCTGTACAGACAGGAATATTTCTGACTTGGGGAGAGATTTGTAGCTCTTAGCCAAGAAACCATTCTGATGCTTACATCAAAAATAGGTGTATTTAAGATACTCATCACTTTCTTACTAAAGATGAGAGAAATTAAGAGTACTTGCTTATATTTGTCTGAAATGGAATTTATTCTGCTGTGACTTTTAAGATGTGAAGTTTCAAATTGTCAATTTGTCAGGAACAAAAATTTCAATTTTTGGCTCATTCAGCCTTGAGACACTCTATGATGTGTGATGTTACTTTTTCTTAGGGATATTGTAGGGCTTGTATCATGTAGATATATTAATTTGATCTACTGGCTTTATTTGCTGGGGATCATCTAAAAGCCTCAAGAACACAAGTTTTTTTGGTTTTATTTTTTAATCCATTGAAATGTATTTTATAAAATCAATAAATGCTTAAACACTTTAGGAATTGGGGGTGGATTAGGTAGCAAAGAAACTGAATTGTAACAAATCATGATATGATAGAAAACTTGGGAGAGTGTACCAACATCTGCCATAGAGATCTGAGTGGAAAAGCAATTAATATTTGGTGATAACAGTCTATTTTAAGAATGTTGAACAGCTAATGTGTTGGAAAAGAGTCAGGAGGGGGATCCAGAGCTCTGGCTCTTAATCTGTTCAGCTCCAGAGCTTCCTGCTCTGCTTTCCAAGCACTGGAATTGGCACAAGCTGCTCCTGTGCTGGGGAGCACACGTGGCTGCACCCTGACAAATCCAGCTTCCATTTCAATCATGGAGTGCTCTCCCATCATTGCATGGGAAGGAACCTTTTTCATGTGCTTGGCCTGGTAGGAAGCTGAACTCGGTTCTTCTGGGAATTAGGACAAGTCCTTGTGTTTCTTAAAAGCACGTTTTCCTCTGCTCCAAATTCTAACTTGTGTGGTTTTTTTTCTCTGTATTTCTCCTTGTACTGTGGATGCTTTAGTGCCATGGTCTAGGTTAACTGAGGAACAGAAATTGTAAGCAAGTCTTCTTTACACTTCTTCTAGCTTCTTAAGCTCATGTCAATTATTGTTTTGAACTATACCTATTCTGTTTTTTAAAATGGAATTCTGACATTAAAAAGCAGGAACTGCTATGTCCCACTAAGAGAAATGGATTCAGCTGGAAGTCTGGTTTGTTCTGTAGCCCATATCTGCTCTGTGAGCTGGTATTTTGCCTTAGTTTTTCTCAGTTGAATCAGGATAATAAAGCCCAGGCACTGGGTTAAAACTTGTTGCTGTTCTAAAGGTTAATTTCTTATATTTCATCATGATGCGGTCCTTCAGGTGGGGGAATTCTTGCTTTAAAAAAGGAAAAATTAAGATATACTCTACCTTGAAAAACAGGCCTTGAAAGAAAAGGAAAATGACGAGCTTGATATTCAGCTGAGGGTGTTTGATGAGAACAAAGATGAAGACCACTTTGAACTGTCACATCGTCTCAATGATATCAAAGCTGAAATGGAATATCCTTTAAGGAAACGCTGTTATAACTTGTGTCGCTTCAGAACTTTATTAAATGGAAATTACAGTGCTCTATGTGCAGGTTATTTGTCTCAGTTGTGTGTCTTACCAGGGGCTTTGTCAAGCAGATTTCTCTCCAGTTGCTTTTTTTTGTTGGAAAATATTTGGATAATTAGTGCTTAAATTTGCATGTCAAATGTAAGTCATTGGGAACTGAATTAATTCTTCATAAATAACATTTATTAAGCTAAACTCTGTCTCATAATACATGAAGAGATAAAATTATACCCGTGGAAGATCATAACTTTGAAGAAAAATGAGTTTTGATAATAAAAGGAACAACATTTCTTGTAGGTTCTGAAGCACTACAGATGTGTGCCTTTTCTAGCAGTGAGGAGCAGGAAATTCCAGGTTACCTAAGTTCAGAAGAGCTGCTTGCAGGTTTTAGGAGGAAGCAGAGGGAGGTGGAAGCAATCAGTGGGAGGACTATAAAATCCCCTGAAATGTTGTTTTGCAGAACAGGTAATTGCAAGTAAGGGTCATCTGTAGGAAATGGAAAAGACTGACCAGTTTGTGTTTGCAAACAGCCTGGCTGAGCTCAGGGTGGAAACAAAGCTTTGTGTGAAATATTGCTACAGGGTTCTAAAGCACAAAGTCTATACTATGATTGTTCTGATTGCTAATGAAACATACCCTAATTGATAAACAGAGCACAGGAATTCCGTGCACAATCTTAGTAGAAAAATAATATTTACTGCTTAGAATAGGAGCTCAAAGTGTGGAGGGTTTTACCAGAACAATATGGGAGATGTCTGGGGAGCTGTGTTTGGGTGGGGTGGCTGTTCTGTGCTGCAGTGGAGCTTTTTGGGCTTCTGTTTTTTTTAACTTTGTGGGTTTTTAAGTACTGTTATTTTCTTAACAATGTTTGCACTGATGTGAGCGAAGTATTTCATCTGCTGTACAATATGGTGAAAGATACTTCTTCTGAAAATTACTTCTTGTCAATTCTCCAACATTTCCTCCTGATCAGGAATGATTACTATGTCCGGTGAGTGCCAGCTCCCAGGCTGGATCTTTTGGGGGGAGTAGAGGCAAGAATAGAAATGAAGACCCTGGTAAACTGAGTAGCTCATGCCTAAAAAGTCACTCTGAGACTGGTGTTTTATTTATCTTTCACTCCATATTAGTGCTAAAAAGATCTTGGTAAATATAATCGTGTTTATTTCAAAGACCTGAAGCTTGGTCTAACACCCTCATCCCAAAATCCTCTTGACTCATTGGGCACTTTTTCTTTATTCAAGTTTGAAGTTTGATACCTTTATTGCTTCAGAGAACATGGAAGCTGTACAAGTGATAATTGAAAATACTCCCACATGCCTTGGATCTGCTCTTTCCAGTGTAAACTCTTAATATGCAGCATGGTGTCATAGCAAGGTTGAGGCACCATATCCAAAATATTTACAAATAAGAGTTTGAACTTGATACTTTTTCTGGCAGGTGTAGAATTCAGAATTAGGGGTTAGTTGTCCCCCTTCCCCAGCTGCATAAAGGCTTGTTCATGTTCTTGATGCCTTGTAAATGTTTCCTGTTCTAGACCTCAGTATTACAAGATCATAGAAGAATGTGTGTCACAGATAGTGCTGCACTGCAGTGGCATGGACCCAGATTTTAAATACAGAGGAAGGATGGACATCAATTTTACACATCTTGTTGGTTAGTACTGTTTAAGCAGCTTTACTGTGTTTTTCTTTGTGTTCTTCTGTCTAGCCTTACACTGACTGAGAATTTTGTCAGTGTTCTGGAAATATGCATGTAAGCTACAGGTGTGGAATGCCAGACCAAGTGCTGTGTAGCCTTTAATGAAATGAGACAGAATCAAAAAATAATGTGCCTGTTTCTTTTGTGCCATGGGCTCACAGGGTAATGATGGTTGGAAGCACCTCAGAGCTGTGATATGCTTGGCTTCACTGGTGTGTGGTATTTTATTTAAATTCTAGATGCCTGTGTGGACAAAGCTAAAGTAGAAGAGAGTGAAAAGAAAGCAGCAGAATTTTCCAGGAAGGTAAGTCCTGCTCATGGTGTGGAACAGATTCCTGACAGGAGCACAGTCAGCTTGTTTCCCAGCTGAAACTGAGAAACAGTGGCTCTCACAATTCCATTTGTTGCTCTCTGTCCTGAATTAGTCATAATTAAATAACTTAAGTGCAGGTATAAGCTTAAAAAAATGAGCGAATGTGCTATATTAGCTGCAGTAGTACTGAAGTTCATGTGTCATGGAGGTGTGTATTGAAATAATTCCAAATTTTGGTATTTTTTGCTGGTCTGGTCCATTAGGCATTTGCAGGCCAAATAACAGAGCATGTTCTTGAACGTGATGATTGCAGATTTAATTTTTAATGAATTTAAGCTTGCTGCAATAGATGTATACTTGAGTTTGGTTTGAGAAGTCTGCATTGTTCTCTGGGAGGGAAAAACCTGCACTGAAGAGCTGGATCTGGGTGGTTCTCTGTCATTGCCTTGTTGATGGAAGAAATTGTGGCACCAAAAGTGAACATGTTAAAAAAATTCTGCTAAAAAAGTTTAAAGTGCATCAATTGCTCCAGCTCTGATACTGTTCAAAAAATTCCTGCCAATGTAAGCTCTGGTGTGGCCATAACTGCACAAACTGTCCTGTGCTGGTTAAATCCCCACAGTTTGATGAAGAGTTCACAGCTCGACAAGAGGCACAAGCAGAGCTGCAGAAACGAGAGGAGAAAATCAAAGAACTCGAGACAGAAGTCAAACAGCTCCGGACCCAGGTAATAAAGAAGTATCACATTAAGTTCCACAGCTGAGCTGATTTTCTTGAGAAGGAGTTGAAAAAAAATTGCCTGGGAGTAACTTGTTTGTCTGGAGCTTGGAATGTCTGCTATAGGTGTATTGATTGGGTTTGCAGCCAGCATAAGTTACTATGGGTAGTTAATGGAGGTACATTTTACAACTAGTAGTATTTTCAACCTGCTTTATTGAGAAAAAATGCTCCTTAGGCTATAAAAATCTTACATTAATCCTGATTTTTTTCGCCTACGGATATTTGTTCATGCTTTCACATTGTTGCTTCTGTATGTTTTGCAGAAAGTTTTTGTTTTGGAAGTGTTTTATTTTTAAAGGCTTTTGGTTTTAAATATATTTTTTTACTCTTACATTTTATATAAGACTTTTTTATTTTTTAATACCATCTTTAGGTTTTAGACAGGTCATTTATACCTTTTAGGAACTAACAGATATGATTTAGTGCTTTTGCCTCAATCTGGTTTATTTTGTACTCCTTCAATGTTAGGCAAGGTCTGCCTGTTGCCTTTTTGTCTTTTTTTTGCTGTCTTCAAGCCTGTGATCTCACTTCCTATTTGGACACGAAGGTGGAGACACTGACACTTCTGTTCTTACCTCCTTCTTGCCAATTTTCATGTTTGTTACAAATTCCTACAAGCCAGTGTTACACTGAAATGTGACAGTCTGTTTTAATGAGTTCCCAGCAATTGTTGCATTATAACTTGTGAACCAAAGAAGCACATGTGCCTTGTGCAAAGTAAAAAATGTCCTTTTAGTCCAATTAATTGTTAATCCTGTTTTATTGATTCTAACACAGTTCAGATTATCCAGACATGACAGGGCATTCACAGTAATGCTGACCACTGATTAATTAACCATGTAATTCTGGTATCTGTTCCCTTTTCTAGAGTTATGCTCCCCACAGAATATGATGACACTTATTTTTAGCTGCACTCACCCCTCTGATGGTTTAACACGCTGCTGTTTCTCTTCCTTATTAATTAAATTAGTAAGAACTTATTAGAATTGTTATTGGAGAATGGATTGCTCTTCTTCTCACCAAAGAAGCACCCTCAAACAGATTCAAAAGACAGCAGGACAGGTTGTTGCACACCCTTCACCCCTCCAGATGTCAGAAGAGCTCTGAACTGGTCCTGTGACCTCTTAGACTGCAATAGCTGCTCCACTGATTGCTGGGGAAAATCTTCCAGCAGCAGATGAGTGTTGTTAAAATTCAGCATGGTTGTTCTCATCTCTGATGCCCCAGCTTGCTGGGGTATCCTAAGTGGGATAAATGTTTTGTGCATTGGTGAGAAATAAAATGCTGTTCTGTTCACTTAAATGTTACTGCTACTATTAAATTTTCTTTAAAATTGAAACAATTTGTTTTTATAAAAATGCTAGGTTATTCAGTTTAGTTGGCAGCTTTATGGTACGTGGTATAATCTATTGTTATTGTTTCTCATTTAAATAGGGGAACAGTTGCATTTCTCACTTTCTTGAGATGCAATTGGGTAAAACCATCCTGTTTGGTTCAGCTTTGTGTCAAACTGCCTCCTGTCACTGATGAAAGGAATTCCTCTGTTGTGTTCCAGGGTCCAGTTCTGACAGAAGTCCCAGGAATACCTTCAGCCCTCCCAAGTGAGAATGTCCCACCATCTCCAGCGCCTTCACTCCCTGGTGGAGCCATCCCTCCTCCTCCTCCTCTCCCTGGTGCAGCCACAATTCCTCCTCCTCCTCCGTTACCTGGTGCAGCAGCAATTCCTCCACCACCTCCCCTTCCTGGAGGAGCAGGAATTCCTCCACCACCTCCCCTTCCTGGAGGAGCAGGAATTCCTCCACCACCTCTCCTTCCTGGAGGAGCAGGAATTCCTCCACCACCTCCCCTTCCTGGAGGAGCAGCAATCCCTCCCCCACCTCCATTACCTGGTGCGTCCCTTCCCCCAGCGCCCCCTCCTCTGCCAGGAGGAGCCATCCCACCGCCCCCTCCTCTGCCCGGCGTGCCCCCTCCTCCTCCTCTGCCCGGGGGAGCAGGGCCTCCTCCTCCTCCTCCTCTGCCCGGGGGAGCAGGGCCTCCTCCTCCTCCTCCTCTGCCCGGGGGAGCAATCCCTCCCCCGCCGCCTTTCGGGGGTCCCCCCATGCCACCCCCTCTGGGAGGGGCTCTCTTTGCTCCCTTCCCGGCGGTGCCAGCGTTGCCACACGGGATGAAGGAGAAGAAGAAGTACAAGCTGGAGGTCTCCATGAAGAGAATCAACTGGTCAAAGGTATGGCAGCAGCATCGGGGTGGTGTTCCCCCCATGCACTGCACACGGGGGCTTGGTACCGTGTGTGATGGGTTTTTAGGTGAGATTCACCTTGGCAGAGCTCCTTGTTGTACCAGGTGTCCCAGAAGCCAGCTTACTTCCAGTGCATTCTACCAGGTGCAGTGAACATCAAGAGCAGCTTTGCATCCAGTTGTACCTAAATATGCATTTATCTCCAAACTGCTCTAAAGCAGCTTTCACCCATACCTAGCAAAGCAAACCAACCTCAGCTTTTTCAATTCGTGACGTTTAATGTTGCTGTGAGTTCAGAGATTACTGATACCAAGCTTTAATGTTACTTGTTGATTATTTATCCCAGATATTTATTGGTTGTTCTCCATCAGCAATGTGCTGGAGCAGGGCCGTGGCCACTGGGAGGAGCCATGGGACTGCTCAAGGGAAAGGTTTGGGCATCATGAGCTTCCAGTGTCTTAGCTTGATTGCATTTAATCACATGTAATTTTTAAAACCATCTTAAAATCTAAGCATTACTTGAGCAGTAAAGTGCAAGCACAATCTGATTTGCAAGTGAACCTTTAAAGCAATTCCCAATTACTCCTGGCCTCTCAATATATCCAGTCCCTCTAACAGGAGAAGTTACACAAACATCCAGGTGTGTGCTGGGCTGTGTTGTTTTAAAAGCCTTTTTGATCAGTGTAGTGACTGCTCCTTCCGTATAAGAAAATTCATGTGGAGTATTAGATAATTGCAGCTGTTATCAAGACTAAATCATTGCATTCTAAAATTGTGGTTGGCAATTTTTTAGTGGTATACAAGAAGACAGATATGTTGTTGTTTGGTGTAGGAAAAAGAACCAAAAGCACCAAATCATCAAGTCTATATAAAAGACATTTATATATTCCATGCTGTGTGGTTCCTCTAAATTCTGAGTAGTCAAAAAGTAGTTTTGAGGTAACAAAACAGCAAAACAATCCCACTAGTCTTGGAGGAGGAATACAGAATGTTGAGATGAGCCTGTGTAGAAATGCATGGCATGCCAATTTATAGTTTCTTTTGGCAGAAGAATTAATGCTTCAATGATTTCAAAAGATTTGGAGATGTGCTCAAACAATCTGAAAGTGTATCTGAGGGCTGTAGTTTAAAAACAGGCTTTTAATATATTTAACTAGAATGATACAAAACAGCCTGCCATGTTTTTAGAATATTAATTTAAATAAAATTTAAAATCAGTTTGAAAATCTTTACTTTTTCTGTAATTCTCATAAAATAATCTACATAAATGGATAAGTGATAACTTTCCTTCTTCGTTGTGGGAGGAGGAATGCAGTGTCTTGGGGAGAAAGGGCAGGATCAGGATGCACTGCAGGGGTTTTGTAGCTGTGGGACATGGACATAGACTGCTGTCCTGGAAGCATGGAGAGAAGCAAGCTTTTATTTCATAATACATGTTGGTAATTGCAGCCAATTTCATTGTGATCAGTTCCACTGGGGAGTTTGTAGGAATAATTTCTGAAGTGTCTCTGTGAACACTGGCTGTGACAATGGGAAGGAGCTGCAGATGGACGCTTTGCTTAAGTGCTCTGGGAACAGTGCCAGAGATCTCCTGCCTACTGAGAAAGTGGAAAGTCTGTTTGATCATCACTTTTAAGGAGCCATCATTTGAGAAATAAAATTCTTACTGTTTAATTTAGTCCCTTTTGCTGTAACTGTCTTCCCCATTACTGTTGGATTAAGGTAGTTTTTTAAAATGTCTTCCCTGGAGCTGCTGGCAAAGCAGGGCTGAAAGGTGGAGGACCAGGGTGTTGCAGGGAAATTGGAGTGAGGCTGACAAAGGTGGTATTGCTAAATTCCCTGCATATCATCTTAAAATTAAATAGCCCTTGGAAATTATCTGGCATTTAAACAAACTTATAAACAATAAGTAATAATGTGTTCAGAGCTGTTAGAGGAACATATTTTGGAAGCAGAAAAGCAGTTCTGAGTCATACACAAAGAGTCAAGTTGTCTTTCAGCTTTTATATTGCAGAGCATTTTCTTCCTTTAGTGCAGCCAGTAGAGAGCTCATCCTGAGTCTCTGCAAGGTCCCCGTGGCCAGTTCATTGCCTGGTAAGTTGTTCCATCCAGTTCCCAGGTAGCAGGGAAAGGAAGTGCTGAAGAGTTGGGGAACTCTCTAGAAAGTAATCAAGAGAGAGCTAGAACATTTGAAAGCCAGCTGCTGCTATTAGTTCTGTTTGGAGAACTTGCTGAGTGCAATAAAGGCCATTTGTGGCCACAGGGCAGCTCAGCTCACCGTGCTTGTGCAGGAGCAGCAGGGAGAGAACATCCCAGAGCAGGGCTGAACTTATCAGCCCAATTCTCACAGAGCTTCTGCAGCATTTATTTTAACTTGGCTGTTGAAAACAATCCTAATTGACTCTGGAGATGCTGTTTTTCTTTCAGATTGAGCCTCAAGAAATAGGAGAAAACAGCTTTTGGGTAAAAGCTGAAGAAGATAAATTTGAAGACCCAGAGCTGTTTGCAAAATTGGCACTTACCTTTGGAACCCAAATGAAAGGTACATTCCTACTTTGCTCTTTATTGTGCTTTATTAAGTTTAAAACTGTGTAATGGCAGTTTCTTTTATGCTTTGTGCAATACCATGGAATTCATTTGATGGTTTTATAGCAGGAAGATGATTTAAAACATATATTAAGCATAACAGTCTATTACAAGAATTGCTACCCCTTCACTTTACAGCACGAGGGGAGGAACCTTTTTGCAATAATACCTTTTAAAAGTTCACTGTATGTTGCAGACTAATGTGAGATTTCTTTTAATGAAATTGTAATTGAATTTACATTCTGATCCTAAAATCATGTTTATTTGCATTATTATTCCTAGCTGAGAATTTCTGGGATAAGAACAGCAATTTTTACTAACACAGTGTTAAAAAAGATTAACTCAGGAAGGGCTCTCAGAGGACTGTAATGAACTATTTCTTGAGTAGATTCCTTGAATTATTTCTGAGGTTTTTTTTTTTCTGTGTCCTTTTGGAACCTCTTCAAAGAGTTGGTCATGGCTGTGTTTTTCATAAGATAGATTCATATTCCTTTCAGTAGTCAGTGAATTTAAACTATTAGAATTCTTCTTTTGCAGCACACCTTGGAACCACTTTCTGGTCTAAATGTTCAGATATTCCATGCAGTATTTTAAAAACATCCTTTGCAGTAATTTAACTTTTTTTTCCATGTCCAAGTTGGATTGACTCTTGGTTCTTAGCACTGCAGGGAGGTTAAAATGATGTGGAGTTGGTCACTTGCTTTGGTGTGACAGGAAGACCTTTAAGGGAAGGAATGCCCAGCAGCAGATGACAGAATGGCATGAGCCCCTTCTTAATGAAAAGGACAAGCTTCTGCCTTGAGCTGAATTCTTTCACCAGAAATCTCAAGAAATGTTTCAGAATTCCTGAAAAGCTTCTTCATTAAAAGTGCTGAAAAAAACCCTCTTGAAATGTTGACATAGCTGACAGTTTCCAATGAGAAGAAATTCTTGTTGACATAGTTGCACAGTTGTAAAACTAGGAACAACAGAAACTTCTCAAATAGCTTTATGTACTGATAGCCTTGCAGATATTTTTCCTTCTTTGGTTCTCAGTTAATGGTTGTAGAAGATAAGATGCCATAGCAAAGGATGCACATTAAAAATGCTGCTGCACAATACCCAGGACATGAAAATCTTACTTGGCTGACTCCTGCAGAAAGGCAGAGTTGTCTGTCAGAGTTCAAAGGTTTATCAAACTTGGGAACTTACTGGAAGTCAAAAAGACTCGTGGGGCCTTTAGTTGCAGCACAGACCCAAAGAACTACATGCCAGAAGCAATTTTTTTCCTGCAGCTGCCATCTGCAAAGGGAAACACAGAATAATGTTCACTGTTCTTCCTCCCTTTTTACCTTAAGCAGCTCCATCATGTCCCAAATGCTTATTTCAGGCATCATCTGTGATCAGATTTCCCTCTTGCTTTAGTCCCATTTCATGAGGTGGTCTCCAGGTACATTCCAGGAGTGTGATAAAAAGCCAAATAGAAATGCATGTGATATTCTCTGAGGAGCACAGTCAGCATGTAAAACAAACAAAGGGATGAGTGGAAGCAAACTGACAATTGCCAAAAGCAGTTTGGATGACTTAGTGTTTACTGTCTTGTATTCTGTGGGATTTTGGAATGCCAGTGGGAATGGTAACTGAAGTAAAAGTGGTGTGCACATTTATTAAAAATTTGTGATTTGTAAGTTGCAGCACTGAAATTTGATTAAACCTCTGAATGCTATTCATGATTCTTCGGTACAATGAGAAAAACACTTGGGGAATTTTTCTCATGTAACATAATTTTGGTTTAGGATACTCCAAAAATGACTTAATGTTGGCTATCTCTAAGCTGTCAGCTGCCTTGCTCTTTGAGTGCTGCCTGCTTTAGAGGAATGCAGCCAGAGCTGAAGGGGTTTGGTGCTTCTGGAGAGGAATATTGTATTGTGCAGTTGAACAATAATTTTTGCATATTACATTATATTATTAATCCAGTGTAGTTGCACATCTCAGGAAAGCTGGGCTACTGCTTTTTGATGGAGTTGGGGGTCATTTTATGGCAAGCACTCTGTTACCAAACTTTGCTTTTGTCTCTTAGCTGATATGAAATTTTCTCTCTGGCCACCAGCAGAAGGGAGAGCACCAGCAGCACTGTCATGTCTTCAGTGCTTGCTGGAATATGATGTCAGAAACTCCTGTTTAAGTGATGGGATGTTAAATCCATGTAGAGTTGAATGCTGCAGTGTCTCCTGCCAGCTGCAGGTGAAGGCTGCAGTGCTGTGACTGCAGCCAGGTTGTGACACATCCACACTCAGGACTGTGACAATACTCAGTGCTGGGCCTGCTGCTATCCAAATCATTTCTCTCTGCTTGATTGATGGTCTAATTGTAAAACACTGCAAAGCAAGTTAATGCCGTCTCCCTAAAGGATCATGTTAATTTCTGCCTCTTGTAATTTAGGTTGTGTATTTTGCCAGTCAAGAATGATAGTAGTGCTCTGAAGAAATTAATTATGTGTACAGTAGGTCTGTAAAGGTAGTAATTAGTACATAATAGTCTGTAACTACTGGGATTGTTCCAATACAGAATTCATTATCCATCCAACTTGCCTCAAGGGAAAACTTCTCCATCAGGGTTCTGTTGCTTTACAATTAGACTTTTAAAATACAACTCAACAATCATTTTCATATGTTTTCAAAACTGAAGTAAGGTCTTAATAGCCGAGTTGTGTTTTTCACATGATGGGAATTTCAGTGGGAAGGGACAAGAGAAAAGACAAACTTGTATGTAAGCTGCAATTGAATAAAACATGAACAAAGTGTTCAGGTTTTGATTTTATATGTATAATGTATATGATATGTACATAAATAATGTGTATAATGTATATAAAGAATATGATAGGTCAGTGCACCATTAAACTTGAAAGAAAACTCTTTGCATTAATTTGCATTTGGGACTTGTAAATACAAGGAGCAGCAATTAGTACTTTTAGAAAATGGCTTTGAGTTTGCTGTGCTGAGAAGCTCAGATCTAATTCATCAGAGAACTTCAACATTTGCAAGCTTTCAGTGGATCCAGCTGTGGGCAGATTTCCTCTCAGACAGCTGTAGGTGTGAGGCAGCAGGACTCAGCTGAGTGCAGAAATCTCTGCTGTTCAGCACGGCTGTGTTGCACTAGCTCAGCTACCTATGCTGCTTTGTCAACACAAAAAGGAGGAAAAGCCTCTCAACTCCCCACGAATTTGCTTCAGGATTGCAAACTGCAGGTGGCTCCCTTGGTCTGCTGCTGATTCAGGCTGAGCTTGGTTCCTTCCCCTCCTCAGCCTCTCCTTGCAGAAGGGTGGGAATGCAGAGCAGGATCAGCTGTGCAGTGTGGGGCCACCGGGGCTGTGTGCCAGAGGAATTCCATTGCCTGGGCTTGCACACCTAGGGCATCACCCTTCAGATCTGTTTCACACAGAAGTGCAGCAAATTGCTTTGTTTTCATCTCTGGATCTATTTGAAATTGTTGTTTTTCAGCAGGAGAATAAACTACCATAAAGAAGGAGTGAGTTATTAGTTTACTATTTTTCACTTTCCTTTTCTTCTCCGCTCAATTTACCCAGTAGGTAAACTCTCAAACTCAAGGGTGAAAAAAGCTTTGCATGGTTTAAACAAACTGCTGCCTGAAATTACTAACATCTAGCATAGATTTATGTATGTATATCTCTGTATTTTGATATATTTTATATACATTTTTGTAATTCTTGAATGATTAGAATTGTTTTACAGTCCAAGTCTTATTTCCAGAACACCAGGACCACCCATCACTGGACAGCAGGACTGACATGAGTATAGTGTTCAGAATGCTGTAAAAGAAAGCAAAAGTTCCAATTAGGAGAAAAAGATTGTAAATAGTTCTTAATCTTTTATTTCAAATAGCATTTTAATGCACTCGCCTTTCAATAACTTAATTTCTGTGTCAAAGACAGTTTGTAATATGGAGTCACTAAGAAAACATAATTTATTTTGAAAAAACATACTATGTAAAGTACATATCCTGTTGGTGTACCTACTAACTGTAATTGTTTTCATCATGTGACAGTGAATGAAGAATATCCCAGGTTAAAAACTAAAATCTATTTAGACTTTTTCAGAAGTTAGGCTCAGTGTCAGTTGTGGTATTTTTGTTTATTGTCTTCTTTTCCTATAAAATCTTACATAAATAACCCTTTCAGAATGCTCGTGCTTTAGGGTTGGGCAGAGGCAGGAATTTCACTGCAGGTCACAGTGTGACACACTTTGATTGTGTCTCTTAGGACTCCGCTTTTCAAACTTTGTGGTAGATTCCTAAGGGGGGAAAATCAAGAGGGATGGCTCAGACAGATGCAATTTTCCTATCTCCAGTTTGTTGTTCCTGGAACTTGCTTTCTTTACATCTGCAGCAGAGTTGGAGTTTTTTCAGAGCATTGTTGTTCCATAAAAATGTTCTGAGAGAGAAGTTTGGACATTCTTAATCAGCATTACAGAAAGAATTGCAATAATTGCACCTTCAGAAGAACAAATACAAACAGCCTGTGTGTGAATTAAATTGTATTCGGATGAAGAGACAGGTGGGAAATCGTTGGAGGTCTGGGCTGTTTGAAGGCTGCTCTCATTATTCATGGATTGCTTGGAGGTGCAGCATAATGTATTCCCCACAATTCCTGGAGAAATGGAGTTCATTTCAGAATCAGCATTCTGTCTGTTCTGAATCCAGGTCAGATGCTCTAATGTGGAGGCCATTCCTTCAGTTTTACTCTAATTGGCAGTGCTTAACCCTTTTGGAACATCACTGGGACAGGTGAGAGCTCCCTACTGGAGACTTGAGGAGCAAGGATGTGAAATGAGGAATCCTGCTGCTTCCTGAGTGACTGCAGGAGTTCTGCAGGTACAAACTGATTATCCACCTGCCTCGTCAGTGCCACGTGGCAAACTGAGATTGGAGAAGCTCTTCTGTCTGTGTGTGCCTGCTGCA